TAGAGAACCTCTTGCATTTGAAGAGGAGACTTTATCGTTTCTAGTTAAAGAAGGGAACCTCAATTAGAGATCACATGAACACTTACACAAAGCTTCTTGCGGATTTGGCGAATATGGATGTCATGATTGAAGATGAGGACAAAGCGTTGCTGTTGTTGAGTTCCTTGCCCGACGAGGAATATGAGACCTTCGTCCTTACTCTGATTAATGGGAATGCATCTCTTTGGTATAGTGAGGTCACTGCTGCACTGGTGAATTATCAGCTTCGAAAGAAGGATAAGGAGACTTCGACTGAGTCGGTAGCAGAGGCGTTGGCTGCAAGAGGGAAGGGTCCAAACCGAAAAAATTGGAAGTCACGATCTAGAGTAGGACATCCTACAATTAGAAAAGATCAGTGTGCTTGGTGTAAGGAGACTGATCATTGGAAGAAAGACTGCCCAAAGCTCGATGAATGGATGAAGAATAAGAAGAAGGGAAAAGAAAAGCAACCATCATCAGAAGCAAACATCGTATCGGATGGTAATATTTCTGACTCTTCTATTTATTCGCTTTCTATCAGTTCTACATGTAGCTATTCGGAGGAATCCGAGTGGATGTTGGATAGTGGTGCGACCTATCATGTGTGCCCTAGAAGGGAATAGTTCTCTAGTTTTGAGAAGCTGGATAGTGGTATGGTGTACATGGCTGATAACCGTGCATGTCAGATCCTTAGGATAGGAAGAATTCGCATCAAGATGTTTGACGTGACTGTTAGGGAGTTAAATGATGTGAGATATGTTCCTTCTTTGAGAAAAAACTTGATCTCGATTGGAGCTTTGGTTGGAGAAGGTCTGAATGTTCGAATTGAGGACATGGTTCTCAAGATTATGGAAGACTCTCAGATTGTAATGAAGGGCGTCATGAGGAATAACCTGTATTACTTGACTGGAGATATAGTGGCAGGTGGAGAAGTGGCGACTTCTATTGATTCGACTAGACTGCGGCATTTGGGTCTTGGCCATTCCAGTATTGATTCCTCGCATAGATTGAAAGATTGATTCGACTAGACTGCGGCATTTGGGTCTTGGCCATTCCAGTATTGATTCCTCGCATAGATTGAAAGAGGGTGTGAAGACCTGTAGTTTGAAGTCCTGAAAGAGGGTGTGAAGACCTGTAGTTTGAAGTCCAGTGAACATGTTGATGTGAGCAAGAAGACCAAGGTAAAGTTTGACATCTCTATTCACCGAGCTAAGGGTCGTTCTAGAGGAGTTCACGTGGATGTTTGGGGGCCTTCCAATGGGGAATCATTGGGAGGTAATAGGTGTTTGGTTTCCTTTGTTGGTGGCTGTTCTAGACATGTTAGGGTTGCAACCAAATCCCCATTAGAGAAATTCCTAGTAGTCTCTAACAGTTTGAAGAAGTGTAAGATGGAAAGAAAGGTGAAGGTACTTCATTCTGATTTTGTTGGGAGGTACAAGATGGACCTATTTCTGTATTGGAACTGAGCTCACGGCATTTCGAGACACTTTGTTGGAAAGGAAATCTTGGGACAACCAGATAGGGTGGCAAATTTGGAGAACTGTGCCTCGCTGGAGGAAGATCGATGTTTGTGGTCGAGCAATGGTTTGCAGAAGAGGTTCTGGACTGATGCTTCAACATATTTGAGTCATCCTATTAAAGAGTTGTCAACTGCTGTGATTGGAGGTAAAACTCCATTGGATGTTTGGTCTGGTAGTGTCACTACGGTTGAGGCTTCGATGAGGAAGCTAATTGACTCTCAGCAGGTGGAGAGTTTTGAACAGACCTCTCAAACAGCTATATATAAACCTTATTAATCATTCTAGGGTTGTGTGCTAGGCTGGGGGCGGATTTGTGCAGAAAGAAAAATCGGCGGTAGGCAGAAGGAAAAGTCGACTAAATTTTTCGGCTGAAGAAGAGAAATTGGCAAAGACTTTTCGGCGGGTTTTTAGATGCATCCTTTTGAGAGAGTTTTTTTGTGTGAGGGATCTGAGAGTTTGTGTGAGGGTTTAGATTGAGTGATTGTAAACCCTAGTTATATCTCTCCCTCTAATAGTAGATCTCCCCCTCCTTGCCCCGTGGACGTAGGTAGTTTGCCGAACCATGTAAAATTGATTTGTTTGTGTTTGTGACCATTGTAATAGTTTAGGATCCCTCGACAAGTCAGTCCTAGAACTGATGAGAGGAAGAGCCGATATCTCACTTTGTTGAGATATTCGCTTCAGATTATTATTTCCTTGGTGAGACGGGAATTCTTATTGATCTTTTCCTCTTATTGTGCACCAGAAAGTCTGCCGAAATTTCCGCTGCGCACAACAAGTTAAGTATTTCAAATTGGGATTTGATCCGATATTAAACGAGTTAGACCCGTTGTCACATTTAAATCTGAAAATCAAAGGCTTAGTAGCACTTAAACCCCTATATTTTCCCCTACTTTGCACTTATATACCCTCATTTGTTTTTAGCAGCACTCATATATACTAAAGCTTTTAAGACTTGCACTTACGTATCCTCATTTGTTTTTGATAGCACTTGTATACGTGAAAATTTTTAAACTTGCACTTAAATATCCTAAATTTTTAGAAACTTTAAGATATTTAAGTGCAAGTTTTGGAAACTTTAGAGTACTTAGTGCAAATTTTAAAAACATTAGAGTATAGAAGTGTTGTCAAAAATAACTGAGGGCATGTAAGTGAACATTTTAAAAATTTTAGGATATATAAGTGCTACCGAAAGCAAATGAGGATATATAAGTGCAACATGGCTGAACTATAAGTTAATTAAGTGCAATTAAGCTAAAATCAAATTGGTTCGGTTTGTAAAGTTACGTCTGAGCCGTTTACAAAACCAGACTTTAAAACCCTACAGAGTCTTTCTCATTATAAAATTGTTGTTTAGCTCCGGTTTGATTCAGAAACTGCTTTGCAAGCCATCTTATTATACAAACTAAGTTCTGACTAGCCTTTAACAATTTTGGCTGTGAAGTCTATCTGTATAAATAATTAGTTTCTTTAAGTGAATATATAATTTAAATCATGCTAACATGACTGTATCATGCATATTTCTAAAATTTGCTCAGCCTTTATTGACATCATCACATATGGGGCTCTAATATTATTTGTAAGTGATCTAGTATGACGCACTCTTGTAAGGGCATCTCTAACCCAGCACGAAAATGGTGCAAACAGTGTATTTTTTGATACTGTTCCTTCTTCAACCCTGCCCCATTTCCTGTGCCATTTTGGTGCATTTGAACAGTGCTGCGCCAAATATAGAGTCACACTGTTCATAACTTTATTACTGTTCATGTTTTATTTAAATTTATAAAACAACCCCAATAATATTTAAATTTTATAATTTTACTCTAATTGTATAATTTGGACAAAATAAATTATTTTTTTAATTATAAAAATAATGTTAAAATTTAAAAAACATTATTATTAATTATAATATTAAAATCTAGACATTATAATTAAAAGTAGATAAAAAGGAATATGTGAAAAAAATAAAATTTGATATGTGGGGTTAATTGTTGAAATAGTTAAAAATATAAGGAATAGAAAATAATAATATAAAAGTAGATAAAAAGGAATATACTGAGAATATTCTTTTTTTGTGCAAAAAATGGTGCAGTGGGTTGGAGATGAATTACTGTTAGATGTGACTTTTGCACCATTTTGGTGCAAAATTTGTACTATTTTGGTGCAATGGGTTGAAGATGGTCTAAACCACAATTTGACTTCCTATTTAATCGATGTAGACTAAGTTGAAAAGAAGGAGGAGGAAAAAAAAGAACGAAAAGGAAACGATCTGAAGGAGACACTAGTTAAAAGAATTGGCTAATTACCAGTCCATCAAATAACTCATACCTTTCAAGCAAAAAAAAAATTGACTAATTATCAGTCCATCAGTTAACCCATACCTTTCAAAATATTAGAAAACTACCTCAAGTTTGGGGGTTATCAGATAAAAAGCCCCTTAACTTTAAATTTTTATTAAAATTACATAGGAGATATACTTGCCAGTAAAAAAAACCGTGGTTCAAGCTTTTGGGGGTTTTTCTGATAACATACTAAAAGTTAAAAGGGGTTTCTGATAAAATATTAAGGGTAAAGTGGCTTTTTGAAGAAATCTTAGCGTTAAAGGGTTTTTTTTGATAACATACTAAAAGTTAAAAGGGTTTTCTGATAAAATATTAAGGGTAAAGTGGCTTTTTGAAGAAATCTTAGCGTTAAAGGGGTTTTCTGATAACCTTTAAACTCAAGGGGGTGTTTTCTTATATTTTGAAAGTTACGTTAAAAATTACATATGAGATATACTTGCCAGTAAAAAAAAACCGTGGTTCAAGCTTTTGGGGGTTTTTCTGATAACCTTTAAACTCAAGGGGGTGTTTTCTTATATTTTGAAAGTTACGTTAAAAATTACATAGGACATATACTTGCCAGTAAAAAAAACCGTGGTTCAAGCTTTTGGGGGTTTTTCTGATAACATACTAAAAGTTAAAAGGGTTTTCTGATAAAATAGTAAGGGTAAAGTGGGTTTTTGAAGAAATCTTAGCGTTAAAGGGGTTTTCTGATAACATACTAAAAGTTAAAAGGGCTTTCTGATAAAATATTAAGGGTAAAGTGGCTTTTTGAAGAAATCTTAGCGTTAAAGGGGTTTTCTGATAACATACTAAAAGTTAAAAGGGTTTTCTGATAAAATATTAAGGGTAAATTGGCTTTTTGAAGAAATCTTAGCGTTAAAGCGGTTTTCTGATAACCTTTAAACTCAAGGGGGCGTTTTCTTATATTTTGAAAGTTACGGGAGCTTATATGATAAATGTCCAAAGTTAAAAGGAGTTTTTTTCTGATATTTACCCCAAATAAATCCATTACATCAATTCCAAATTTTGCTGTGAAAAATCAAACACCTGATCTGATCAGCCTTCTCTCCCGGTCTTTCTCCTCAACCTAAATCCCTTCGGACCCCTAATTCCTAAACCCTAAAAACCCCTCAACCCAATGGCTACCCTCGTAATTACAAGGATTTCCTGTGGCAATTTCACAATTCCCAAATCCCTATCGTAAATGTACGTAAACCCCCCTTCTCTCTCACCAAACCCTAATCCAACGGCAGCGAAACCCCAAACCCTAACCGTGACTCAAATTCTCAAATGCTCATCTCCTCATAATCTCTCCTCCGCTCCCCCGATCGCTGCCATGTCATCAGTCGACAAGAAGGAGCACGGCAGCCGCAAGCACCGCCGGGCGGCGGCGGGGGGACGGAAGGGGTTGTGGCGCCGCTGACAACGCCGCGAATGTCCCCCCGGATGGCCGGTCGGGGATCAGGCAGACGTACGGCGACCGGAGGCTGAGGATAAACCCTAACAAGGATCACAAGCCTGACAAGTACGACGATCTGAAATCGGACTTTGATCCGGCGATCTTCAGCTCTCTGGAGAGGCACTTGCCGCCGAGCATGCTGGACGTGTCGAAGGAGGCGAAGATTCAGTTCATGAAGGAGATTCTGGGGAGGTATTTGCCTGAAGGGGAGCGAGCTAGGGTGAGATTTCTACTGGTGTTGTTCCTCTTTGGATCTCTAGGGTTCGATTTTGATGAAATCCCAAGTTTGGTTCTGGTTGATGATTAGGGTTTCCACATGTGGAACTTGCATAAAAATTGGATTTTGACATGCAATTTGACCAAAATGTCCCTTTGTTGCCCCTGTATTTACTTCTTTTTTGCTAACTACAGTGATTTGTTTTTGGTGAAGAAGAACGAGCTAGATTAATCATCGGACCTCCTTTTCTTCTTTTCTTTAAAATTTTTTATTCTTGTTTAATTTGGTTTGGTACTAGGATTGCAGATGGATTTTCAAAGGGGGAAATTTCAGCCTGGGTAATGACATAAATGCTCTTGTATTGTCTTTATGAGATTGTTAGTTTTATATATACCCTCAAAACATATATTTTGTGAAAATACTCTCTCCAAATGATAGACTTTTGAGAAATGACTAAATTTTCCTTAATTAAGTTATAATTAAAGTGAAAAATAATTAACCTTAGTATTACAAGTATAGTATTAACACACAAATTGATGGTCAAAAATGAAAGATTAACTATTTTAACAATATTATAATATTCTAACGATAATATTAGTTCGTAAAAAGATAATTTTAAAGTTAGGGTAGTTAAGTCATTTCTGAAGAATTAATTACTAGGTTTTTCAATATATACCCCCTGACTATAGGTAGTTTCGATTTATCCCCAGAACATTGTGACAGCTAAATTGCCCCAAACTTGTTCTACTCTTCCAATTTTAGCTCCCAACCTAATCATAAAGAATCCAATCAGAATATTTTGTCAAAGCAAATAAAAATTATGAAAAATGTCTAATCTACCAAAATGCACATTCTTATATATGTACATGCACATGCATGCATAGTTTGTTTGTGTCAACATCCTTTTTTATCATTAGATCATTGATGGTTTGCCATGTCTTGATGTTAGCTCTTTGAAAGGCTATCAAGTGATTGCTCATTGCTCTACTCATATCTGAAAATTCCTTCATCGTGCTAGAATTGATGTGTAGTTTTGTTGATCTATAGCTTTACTGATCTGCTTGTCCCCTGACATTAAATGTATAGAAGTCTATCAAATTGTTTCTTTGCCCCTTTATCAATATCTAAATATATCTCAACTACATGATGCAAACTGTCATGGTTGGAAGTGTGTTAAGGTACCAGTCATATTAAATGAGTACTAGGCCTTTTCTTAGAAAGCTGCTTAGTTAGCTGATCATAGTGAACATCTGAATTTTATTTTATTTTTTAAATCAGAAGAAAATTTATATCAAGCCTGCTTTCTTCAAAATGAGAATAGCTGAAGTGCATGCCTTTATATTTTGATGGCACATATAAGCATAAACTCTATCTGTGCTTCGCATTTTTCATGCTGATGCCAATATTCCAGACTATAAGAGTGTATCACATATATGCATTATCAATGAGTCTTGATTATTTATGTGCCTTTTTCAAGAGGACTTCAACACAAAGAATGAATATTGGAGGTACAGTGAAAAGGCCATACCATAAGTCCTTTCTTTTAGTCATTTGAAGTCTCTGTACGGTCAAATTAGCTGCTACTTCTTGATAGGCAGTTAGGCAGGTATATTGGTAATATGTGTATTATTACTCTTGTTCTTATATACTATTCCTTGGTTCCGTGAAAGATTTTAGTTAATATTTGGTCTTTTTTGGTAATTTCAGTTCTTGTTGGATCTGTAATACATGTTTGCTATTTTTCTAGTTGGCCCAAGCTGTTTCCCTTGTTTTTATATGCAATTCCTTGGCAATATGTGTAGTATTACTCTTATTTTATATATTGGTAATATACGTGTAGTATTACTTCCGTGTTTATATCCATTTCCTTAGTTCCGTGAAAGATTTTAGTTAATGTTTGGTCTTTTTCTTTTTCTTTTTTTTCTTTTTTTCTTTTTTTTCGTAGTTTCAGTTCTTGTTGGATCTGTGATGCGTCTTTGTTATTTTTCTACTTGGCGCAAGCTGTTTCTCTTGTTTTTTACACACATCTAGTTGGTTTCTTGAAGGAATTTAGTTAATTATCAAGGGTTCCATTTTGGTTTATTTAGTTAAGGTTTTTACTTGATAATGACACTCGTGTGTCTATACTTCTTCCATAGGCTCAGAAGCATAAGGAATATAGGCAAAGGATAATGTCAGCATACCAGGTTTGTGCTCTGGACTTGTTACCATTATTATGTAATCCATGCATTTGTTGTACTGTTTTTATAACAACATTGTTGCATGCTTTTGTTTGATCATAGTGGTAAATCTGCACACTATTTTCGATTTGTAAGTGTGATGCTTTTTAGTGCTAATTCTTCTGTTGGAAATTGCGTAGATAAATCCATATTTCCTTTTCTTTCTCCACTTTTCTAACTGTTTTCCTTGTGGAAGATATCATTTTTTCTGTTTCATGTCATTGGTGTTTTCTGCAGCCTCTACATAAACAGATATACAATGTGGATGCTACGACCTTTTTTGTTCCATCATTCATTGAAGCTATTAAGAAAAGCACGGAAGAGAGTTTTAGAAATATAATATCAGAACCCTCTCCTGGTGTGTACACATTTGCGATGCTTCAGCCAAGTTTCTGTGAGCTGCTGTTGGCTGAGGTATTAACCACCTTATTTGCAGTATGACTCTGAAGAATGAATGGTTATATATCTGAATATATTGTATTTTACTTCTATCCTTGCCATGACCTTTTACGAGAAAGCGTCCTGTTTTCACAGGTTGAAAACTTTGAAAAGTGGGTCAATGCAACTAAATTTAAGACAATGAAACCCAATACCATGAATAAATATGGTGCTGTTCTAGATGATTTTGGTCTTGAAGCTATGCTTAACAATCTTATGGAGAAATTTATATGCCCCATATCTAGAGGTGACAATCAAGTACTGTCATTTTGTATTCAGCAAATGCCACTGAGCTCTTATTGATCAAGCTTATAATTTCTTTTGTTCTTGTGAATCCTTTTGTGCCTCTGGTGCAGTATTCTTTACAGAGGTTGGTGGATCAGCACTAGATTCACATCATGGGTTCGTGGTCGAGTATGGAAATGACAAGGATATTGAGTTAGGTATCTACTTCGACGCATACAAATTCTAGCATTGAACATTGAATTGTATACATACCCCAATTTTCACGACTAAAATGATTCTGTAAATCATTAACCACACCTCTATGGAATTACCTTCTTGAAATATGTAATGTTTTTTAGGATTTTTGACATATTACCGAAATATTTGTTATTTCTATATTAGTCCCCCAATTCTTCATATTTCTAAATTAAACTTTCAGCTCCATTAAGTTGTTTCAAATAACATCCCCGTATTTTCTAATTTACTCACCCACAACTATTTAAGTGTTTTAAATGAGACCCCATTTCGAACAAATATGAGGATTTTGGGAGTCTAATTTAGAAACATAAAGAATTGAGGGTATAACATTAGAATTAACAAAGGTATGGGAGTATAATATGACAAAAACCCTATTCTTTGACTATGAATGGTTAGACAGTAAGGATAAACGTTACATTCCTCTATTTCCATAGTTTTAAAAAGTGGCCTAGGCACTGCCTAGGCTTCTAGGCCTAGGCAATACTTAGCCCACCTAGTTAGGTCTTGGGAGCACCAGGGGAGTATGGGCTGTTATGCATACTGCAAAGCTTAGGTCATGGTCTGATTTCCTCCACCGCCGAACCTCCATGCCCTCCAGCCTCCCTAGCCTCCTTCACCGACTCTGAACAGCTCCTCTACCTTCTTTGACCTGTAGTAAAATCTCCTCCACCTCCTGGCTCTAGGTGCCAGGTCAGCCGCTAGCGGTGCCTAGCGCTTTCTGTAACATTGTCTATTTCCATCTCCTTGTCCTATATCATTATCTTTTTGTCCCTCTAAAGGCTCAATGAATCAATTCTTTTGGTTCTGGTATGTATTTGGAATTCCATATAATATAATGTGTGAAATATCAAAATAGAAACGGACAATTTGATGGTGAAAAAATCTTCCCCTCGCTGTTGGAGATAAATATTTATAGCTTTTTTAATTTATTTTCTAATTTGAGCATTAGATCAGAGCGTTATTCATTGCACACTTTCATGTATAAAAATAGTATTTTAGTTCAGGGTGTTGCGTGATATTTGATCTCTATATTAAAGAGGAACCTGAAGAAGGTTGGCAAGACATTTGATCTGCTATGAGGTTACAAGCTCAATGTTTTACCGTTATAGGAACTTTCCCCCTTCTATTGGCAAAATAGGAGGGAACCACCGAGTTTTTCTTAATAATTTAGAAATTTTGAAGGCCCTTTGACTTGGACACAAAGATCACGAGTTCAGGAAATGTGACCAAGGATGTGTGAGGAACCTTATCCTCTATACTTGGAGAGGTTTGGCGCCCGGCATTTTTTTAGAAGAAAGGTCTACATTGCACTGTTCTTGTTTGTCCCTTTCCCATTATAGAAGATAGGAGAGCATCATGTAAATATTATTTGCCTTGATTTTGTTGTAGTTCCATGGAAGTTTAACGGTGCGGTGCAATGTAAATGTGGTGCATAGTCGATAACTACAAGTTTTGAAGAATAAATCGATAAAAAAAAAGATAAAGAGGAAAGAGCCAACAACAGGCGAAAAGATATTCCCTTTCTGAAGGAATTGTTTTACTTACTGAGGTCAATGTAATGGAGATTTATAGTATATTTCTGATTGAGGCCAATTCTAGCTGGTTGTCTGCCTGCATTCTAAATGTACTATGTTTTGCCTCTGCTTTTTTGGTTCATTTGTTCAAGTCATGTACTTTCTGATTACTATTTTCTGCTTCCAGCTGTAACTTGTGCTGCCTTATTAAAAACCTATTGTTTGAAGTATGAAAATCAGAAAGTGACAAACTTTAAACTTCCATTCTAAATCATTTCAGTTTGCACTTTAAAGGTTTCCATGTAGATGATTCAGAAGTTACTTTAAACGTATGCCTGGGCAAGGAATTTTCTGGTGGTGAATTATTTTTCCGAGGCGTACGTTGTGACAAACATGTAAATTCAGAAACTCAACCTGAGGTATGTTGATCTGTCATAGCGTATTGGATCCATTTCTCATAATACATACTTATCATATCACATGTCTATGACATCTAATGATTTATACTATTTTCCAGTGTTTTCGTAATTTCTCTCTGTTAAGAAGCTTAATATACTCTTGGAGTAACCATTAATTTGAAATAATTACATGTGTATGACATCTAATTATTTCTCTCTGTCAATATCAAGGAGACTGACTATACCAGTCAAGGATTGCATGTTATGTAGACTATTAGATAGTGCCAAGTCTTGTTTGGAATTTTTTGCTACCTGAGATTCAAGTTCCCCTCTTATATTAATGACCATAATTTTTATCAGAACTTCCAACATTAATTTGTCAATAAACATTCTTTTGGAAAGATGGTGATGTTATAACCATAGCCTTAGACAGAGTTGACGCTATGCTCTCTTGCATTTTCATAAGTATCATTATTAAGGAATTACACAAGTACTCTCTAGTCTCTACCATAGTTGCATGGAACCTAGTTTGTTTCGGTTCACGGAACGGGAACTGGAGTTTCTTAATGAACAATTTTATGCAAAGTCAAATTCAAGGATCCATAATGGTAAAAGAGTTTTCAAGTTGCAATTATGGTATGCTTTTTGTTGTTTACTTTTCTGACAATGGTCGTTTCTTTTCCAAAACATTAACAAATTTGAATTCTAGATCTGGTAATATTAAATACTTTGAATTCTAAATTGGGTTGCTAGGTCGGCGACCCAATTCACTAGTGTACCGCATTCTGGGATGACTGAATCAGGGTCGTGGTTCGCTATAGTGTCTCATGTTCCTAACATGTATGCTCTTAACTTTTTTATAAATATTATCACTTCTAAGGGCTTATGTGAGTGCTCACTCGATGATCATCAAGTTAGAGCTGATATATATTCTCTTGTCACAAATGTATTTTACTTTTGAACCTCCGAGTGACTTTATAATCACATGTCCTTACATGTACCATCTCAATGCCTACTCCAAGACTTCATATCAAAGAAAATGACCGTCTATTTTCCATATACTTCATCATCTCATGGAAGAGCAGATTATTAGCAATTTATAATTTTAGATTGAGTCTTTGATGCAGGACAAGCTAGGAGATCAGTTTAGTTAGGATTGAATTTGTTATTTAGTTAGGATTGAATTTGTCATTTGATGTTATCTATCGGTTAAGATGAGGATTTTGTCTTACACCCATAAACTAGCTTGAAGAATTTTTTACTGCTACAGTAATCCCGTTTAACTGCTACAGTATTTTTAAATTCTACAATATTCCGCCTCTGCTGCGGTGTTCCCTGTGCTACAGTAATATTTTTCAAAAAAACAGTGTTTAGTTCCATGTTTGCTACAGTAAACGCTACTGTGGTATTTACTGTAGCATGAATAATGAATCTTGGATTCTCTCATTTGTATAGAGGAGTAGATACACTTGTATATCTTCATTTTCAAGAGAGAAGAAGAATTATGAAAACTTTATTGGAGATTATTCCCTACATGTGAGTTGCAACAAGCATTATTAGGCATGTGACATGTTTCACATGTGTGTGAGGCCCGACTTCGTATCTTTTCTATGTGAAATATAGTGTAATGTTGACATTTTTATCTTTTATTTTACTTTTCCTATATCCTCAACAAATTTCCATCCATCCGATTCCCAACAGCCTTAGTTACATATTTGATATTTCAAAGTAAGAATTTGGATGATGAAATCAGTTCCTTACAATAAAGATTTCAAGAATATGAAGTCGCATATAGCATTAGCCATTGCCCTGAATTCAGCTTCAACATAGATCTAGTTACAACACTCGTTCTCTTACTTTTTCAAGGCCACCAGATTACCTCCTAGATGACATGATATTCGCTTCTCACTCCTGTTGTCTTGTGGACCAACATATTCTACGTCTGTGTAACCCTCAATATGCATGTTCCATGATTCTAGTACAACCACCCATGTCCCAGAGCACTTCTCAAGTTTTAGTGACTAGAGTGTGGAGTATCAAGAAATCAACTAACTACACTAATTGTACATGAGATGATGAGATATCTGGTCTTATGTCTGGAAGACAATTCAACTCACCAACTAACCTCTGGTACCGACTAGAAAAATAAAGCAACTCTCCTTCGTGTTCACTGCCATAGGTGAATCACTTTGACTTGCATCCCCGTACCTTCCTCGTTCCATAAATCAAGATTGAGTTTTCCTTGAGACTATAGACGCTGTTCCACTTTCACCCAAGGTTTTAAATATCGGATATCGGGGAAATATCGGATGGCCAAAATTCATATCGGATTGCGGATATCGGGGAAATATCGGGGATGTGGTAAATATCGGAATGCCATAATGAATGTTTGCATACATAGTATAATGCATTAAAATGTAATCTCAACACATGTAATGAAATTTAAGCATACAAAATATGAATAATATATGTTTAGGATCACTAATCAACCTTCTAAAACAAACAAAAGTGCAAAGCAACGTTGCAACATTCAATCTGCTTTTTTTAGGGCAAAATGTCATTTGATATAATGGGAAAATATTGATATCTCGCCCAAAAATTCCAAACACGGTATATTATTTTGCAACAAGCTATATAAAAAGATTATTTGGTCCACATATCGGCTAATATATCGGCTATATCGGAGATTTAAATAGCCAAAAACGGTAAAGGATATTTAAAGAGCATATCGGTTACGGCAAGCCCTGTAAAAGGATATATCGGGGGATATATCGGGCCATGTCGGGGATATTTAAAACAATGCTTTCACCCCTAAGAAATATCTCAATTGTCAACTGCAGAAAACTTCTCAATTTCAGAATCCCCTTCCAATCATTCCCTATGAATGAATCCGTGCTTGATATCGAACTGATAAATATCCTACAAAATATGGTTGCTATTAAGTCGAAACCTGAGCATATGAAATCTCAGCAACAGACCTGACAAAAAAATAACTAGTTGCTCATAAGATAAATGCTTTAGCATTGTGATGCAAGGACACTTGATAATTTAACTTTTCTTGTTACTCTTTACATCTTTTCCAGTTCTAATAAATATAGAGTAGGATACTGCCACTACAACTCCAGAATAGTCATTCAGTCTTGCGGAAGTGAAAGAACCAAATAGAAAAGTACGAATTGACTTGCATGCTCTGACAAAATAATTTCAACAATAAATCGTTTTATGTTCTCGTTATGGTGAGCATACAACTTTATCACGGTCTACAAAATTATCACGGTCTAAAATGTTACATTAATGATTAAACCATATTTGGTTGATACTTCATACACATGCAAGTGAATTACAATTATGAACTGGGAGAACCCATCTAAATATCCAATATGCATCACCGCCTAAGGTTTTAAATATCGGATATCGGGGAAATATCGGATGGCCAAAATTCATATCGGATTGCGGATATCGGGGAAATATCGGGGATGTGGTAAATATCGGAATGCCATAATGAATGTTTGCATACATAGTATAATGCATTAAAATGTAATCTCAACACATGTAATGAAATTTAAGCATACAAAATATGAATAATATATGTTTAGGATCACTAATCAACCTTCTAAAACAAACAAAAGTGCAAAGCAACGTTGCAACATTCAATCTGCTTTTTTTAGGGCAAAATGTCATTTGATATAATGGGAAAATATTGATATCTCGCCCAAAAATTCCAAACACGGTATATTATTTTGCAACAAGCTATATAAAAAGATTATTTGGTCCACATATCGGCTAATATATCGGCTATATCGGAGATTTAAATAGCCAAAAACGGTAAAGGATATTTAAAGAGCATATCGGTTACGGCAAGCCCTGTAAAAGGATATATCGGGGGATATATCGGGCCATGTCGGGGATATTTAAAACAATGCTTTCACCCCTAAGAAATATCTCAATTGTCAACTGCAGAAAACTTCTCAATTTCAGAATCCCCTTCCAATCATTCCCTATGAATGAATCCGTGCTTGATATCGAACTGATAAATATCCTACAAAATATGGTTGCTATTAAGTCGAAACCTGAGCATATGAAATCTCAGCAACAGACCTGACAAAAAAATAAAGAAAAAGAGAAGGGGAAATGACATCCATTTGCAGCGTTGCAATTTGCAATAGCAGCCGACTGTAGTTTTTAGCCAGTTGTGGGAAAGGAAAAGCATCTATTGCCCCCGGGAGCTAGAAACCTAAGACCCCCATCCTCATGTCTCTCTCACATGGTCATAATCAAAAGTTTGGGGTTTAATATGCAAATGAGTTCACAACCTTAACAATAGTGTTGCAACATATTCTGGGCCTGGTTGCAATTTTGGACAGATATTGAACATGTCTGACATATTTTGGATACATGTGCTCACATCTTTGGGCAAGACGAGTGACAGGCATGGGTTCAATGCATGTTGGTAAAATCTAGACTGGAAGAGAAGCCTGTGCTGCTTCCGTTCTTTATGCCCTTGTTACTGTTGTTCTGCATGGATAGGTTTTGCTGCTGTTATGTTTGTGAAGTCCTTCACGAGCACTCATATTTCCTTTCCTATTATTTTGTGTTGTATTTAAATTTAAATAAATGATCTCCATCAAAAAATTAATAGGCAGGCACCTAGATTGAATGGGCAAGCTAGGGGGATCTATGTGGCTTTAGGCGCTAGGCACCTCTTCGGTGCCTAGATCCACCTAACATATATAAAAATTGCAACGCGAGTCTGTGACATGTAATACTTATCTTCATATAGATATTAACTGGCAAGTTTCCTAGCCATTTTATTCAGATATAATGACTTCAATTTAGCTTACATGTGACTGTAATATGTTCTTGTAATAATGATATTGTATGGTATGCAGTGTCACTCATTAGGTTTTGGGCTGGTCAATGATATAATTCAATATCTGACAAATGTCCTTTCTAGCAATAGTTCTAAGATTATTGTTATGAATGGTTGAAATTGTTCTTCTGACGAGTATGGGACTGCAGTGTGGTTTTTACAATTATAAAGAAGTGATGGATGGATCCCTTGCTTCACCCACAGGAAATCTTAGACTATTCTCATGTACCTGGTCGAGCTGTGCTTCATCGTGGTCGTCATCGTCATGGTGCTCGACCTACAACATCTGGGCATAGAATCAATCTGTTAATGTGGTGCAGAAGGTATACTCTTTCCTTGCCACCAATATACACGGTTCTGTTTACATATTCTTTAACTCGAGTTATTTGATTGGAATTAATTATATACACATTGTTTCTTTTTATACTGTTAAGAATCACTTTGCTGAATATTTAAGCTCTTTGGTTGTGAGCTAAGAATCTATATCAAGCTAGCATAACACTTATTATGATCTTTTAGGCGATATGGGAAGGACTCTGCCTTTGAGTTTATCTTCAAATAACATAATAAATTGACTTTGAGTTTATCTTCAAATAACATAATAAATTGGGACAAAATAAATAGAATTTAGTTGTCATAAGTCCTAGAACCTCCTCAAGTCTGATGCTTTGGTTCCAGGATAAAAACTATTTGGTCCTAAAGCCCTATGAAGCACCGACTCTTCAAAACGGCCGACGAGTCCGTCTCCGACACGCGTCGGACGCGGACACGCGTTCGACACGCGTCGGACACGCTGTCAACGCCGGCGACACGGGTCAACGGCTCGACTCGTCGCAGACACGGGTCGGACACGGCGATTCCATTCCCGACACGGCAAAACCCAAACCCGAAGCCCAAACCCGAAACCCAATTTCAAAGTTAAAGAAACCAAAAACCCTAACCCTAGCCGTCACTCGTCAGAAATCAAAACTTACCCGATCAATAGTTCGTCCTCGTCCTCGTCTCGTCCTCGTCGTCAGCTCTCAATCTCGTCAGCTTCGTCGTCGATCATCCCCGTCAGCTTCGCCGTCGTCGATCATCCAAGGTCAGTCGCTCTCTCTCTCTCAGTCGCGCTCTCTCTCTCTCTCTCTCTTTCTCTCTCTCCGATCGACCTCTCTCTCTCTCTTATCTCTTTCCGATTCTCTCACCCTCTCTTATCTCTCTCTCCCTCTCTGATTCTCTCTTTCTCTCTCTTTTATCTCCCTCTCATCACACAAAACTCCCCACGAACTTTCCCTTTTTTGCATCCACTCACACGACAAGCTACTGTTCTCTCTCTCTCTCTCTCGAAAATCGCACAGGCCCCCCGCGAGTTTCAATGTCACGCTGCCCCCCACCACGACAATTTACTGTTTCAAAATTATTAATTTTTACTTACTGTTTTTCTGTTGAATGTTAATTAGCATGGTAATTTTTACTTACTGTTTTGCTGTTGGTTGTTAATTAGCATAGTATTTTTTACTTGCTGTTTTGCTGTTGGGTGTTAACTTGCTAATAACTGTAATTTTTAGTTTTGCTGCTGCATGTTAATTAGGATTGTAAACAGTTATGATTTTGCCTACTGTTGAATGTTAATTAGGATTGCTAGTAACTGTGATTATCTTCAAATCAGTTACATAACTTATACTTGTCATTGATTATACAAGCTAATATTACATAATAATACAACATAAAAATTGATCTGTTTTGCTATATGTTCATCTTTTCTTTCTTGTCTTCTTTAACATTATTGTCTTTAATTCTCCAAGAGATCATTGTCATCCCGACATATTAATTCACACCTGCAACACACAGACACACTTTCCATTAGTTTCTTATTTATAATCCTCACTTTACATAACAAAAAATATGAAAATGTAATAGGAATTTAATTCAATATTGATCTATATATAATAATAATATTTAAAAAAATCTAGCCGTATCGTCGTGTCCTATTTTTTTGAGTTTTGCCGTGTCCGTGTCCGTGTCCGTGTCCATGTCGTGTCCGTGTCGCCGTGTCCGTGTCCGTGCTTCATAGCTAAAGCCTAAGCTGTTTGTTTTTGGTCTAATTTTTTTTATTAAAATATCATAATGCTTACCACTTTCCAAGGACAATTTTCTCAAGATGGAGATGGACAAAAATTATTAGAAACAAGAAAGTATGATGAGGTGTCGAGTCATTGACTCATTGACAACCGAGCAAGTATAATGCAATAAAACATGGGTACTGTGAAATATAAAAAAATAAAATTTAAAGTTTATACTGATTTTAAACGCTGATGGAGGTCCAGCAATGGTGTTTTTGAAGAGGCAACAAGCTCCATTTTGACGTTAGTGAAAGATATGGAAAAGATTTTAGAATATATGCTACGGGAAGTGGGTCAAAATTTTGCCATCTGCGAATATGATGATGAGAGACTGGCAGGCTCTGTCTGACCAATCAGAGTTTTATAGGTTTTATTAATTGTCAATTGGCTAACCTAGTATGGGCTGTATCTGAAACAGATTGCTTAAAGCTTTTGGGTCGTAATCTTCTGACCCGCACATGATTTATCTATTTCTTGGGGCAGGTTGGTCCAATTACAAGCTGACACGTATTAGAGAATTTAGAACCTCTAAAGTGTTAAAAAAACTATTTCTTTACAAATAAATTCTAGTTATAATATAATTTAGACTTTTATCTAGTAAAACTTTTACAAATAAATTTAGTTATAATATTATTTTGACTTTTATCTAGTAAAATTTGGCATGGGCATCCATATGGACCATATGCGACTACTGTTGTACTTTATTCTTAACACACTTAAAGATAGTAGCTTGACCTGTATCTATCAGATACATGGAGGCTCCGATATTTTGTACACATACATCAGATAGACCTCTTTAATGCAAGTCAGATTTACACAGCCAATACGTATCAGAAAACTAAAGAAACTAATTGGATACATGAATGTTGTGGTTCCTCACTCATGATTAAGAAATGCATTTATACAATTGTCTTCCATGTGTAAAATGAATAGGATAGCTCGAGTAATTACCAAGTTGAACTTATTTATACAGTTGACTTTTCTTTTTATATTACATCATTATGCATTTTGTGTCAGTTTATGTTTTACATAAAACAGTAAAAAAACTGCTTTTGTCTCGTGCATGTCATTTGATGTAACATTGTCGAATATGTTAAAGAGTTTTCAATAACTTTTATCTCAATGTATTCATGTGTTTTTGTTTCTTTTGTATCCCTGCATCATCTTTTTTGAGTATCTTTTTTACATTTCTATATCTTTAAATAATGGACTAGTCGAAAGGCACACAATTGCAATATTCTTTTGTGGAATATCAATGTGTAGCATGTTCCCCCTTTACTTGTATTAGTCCTTATGTGATGGGGAGATCTAAGTTAGTGCAAAAGTCAGGTTAGATGTCAATAATCTGTTCCATATTTGATCGGGTATTATGAAACCCCATTCAAGTTTGGTCACTTATTAGAAGAACCCCCTAACATTACCTTTTTATTACAAAATCCCTTGCTGTTTAAAACACTGTTAATATCTATTATATTCCAAAACTACCTTCTTCCCCTCAACACATTTTCCCTTTTTCTTATATTTGAGTTTGCGCTACAAGAAAAAATATAGGCTGAAAAACTGAGAATTACACCAAACTAAGACTGAAATCAAAAAGCTTGAAAAGACGACCTTGGTCTTTGGCAAACTCTGTCAAAAGTTGATGTTTTATTGGTGAGATTAGATTTTTCAATATCAATATAAGAAATGCAACTCCAAACATGTAAACACAAGAAAATAGACCCCCAAAGAAAACTACACAAAACTGAAAAACTCTTTTTTTTTTAAATGAAACGAGTACAAAAAGTTTCACTATGATCACTTCAGTGAGGCTCAGGATGGATGCATGCAAAAACTTTGAACTTTCACTTTCATTTCCAAGAGCAAATGAATATGATGTAAATCCTGCTCAGTCAAGAGTCAATGTTGCTTGGGTTGGTGTGAAGAGAGAGGGGAGATGAGGTCTGTTAATATTTTGAGGAATAAAAGTAGTATTTATTAAGCGACATTTGAGAGAAAATGTCAAAAAGTAAATGGGTTTTAACGGTTTCTTTGACGGCAGGGGGTTTTGTGATGAAATAATAATAATATTAATAATGTTAAGTGGTTTTGTAATAAGTGGCTTAACTTGAAGGGGTTTCTATAATAATTACCTATTTGATACCATAATTTTCTAAGTGTGGGTTAACCGATATCTGTTACATGTTACCTTATGGATAAGAATCTTGTAGTATGTTACTATTTGAGCTGACAAAATGCATATCCCAATACACTACCACATATGTATATATTTATATTAATTTAAAAGTGTTGCATGAGTAATAATAGTTTAATCTTTTGCAATAAAATAAATGTTAAAATTTTAGGTCTGAGGAAAATTTGTAAGTTTTTTGTGGTGTTTGTTAATGGTCTTTAGTGTTCCTCGTCTATCTGATATTTATTCAGAACTCTATTGAATGGAAATGATTTTACTTTTACAGTTCAGTCTTCAGAGAGATGAAAAGGTACCAAAAGGACTTCTCCGGCTGGTGTGGTGAGTGCCAACGTGAAAAGAAAGAAAGGCAGAGGCAGTCTGTAGCTGCTACAAAACTGGTAAAGTTCTTGTTATTTTCTCATCATTATACTTGAGATTAAGTTCTGAACTTTATGTTATAATTTTGATTTTTCTTTATTTTTTTCCTTTTTGGCTGTACTTTCTAACAGGCATTCCTCAGGAGTGAAGGAGGGTCGATGATATAATATTTATATGTAACATTGATTTTGCGTTTGTAACATAGATAATCTAGATGCTCACCTGCGTCATTGGTGGATTGTAATCGTAGTTCTCCAAAAGCATTCTTCTGAGCCCAAACTTTTGGGATGTTGAAGGATGATTGTACATTTGAAGTAATAATTCATAAATATCTAACATGTCTCATTTGCGACTCAAAACATATTTCGTGTTTTTGTTCGTGGGTATATATGTCTTGTGGCAAAACGTTAATGCACAGCTAAATGCAGTTGTTACTCAAAAGTTGCTATGAGCAAAGTTTTATCTAAAGGTTGTTTTAACTCTTGACGATGCATGTATGGATCTTGGAACCACTTTTGTTTGAACATTGTATTCGACTATTCGGTCCTTGCATCCAGCGTTCGCAGACTCCAGGAATTTTTTCCCCCGTAACTCTTTTGCTACTGTTTTGTGCTTTACGAGTTAATTTGTAGTCGGATTTGTAGTTATGTTTCGATGCCTGAGCATAAACATTTTTTTATTTCTTTTGGCCTATACAGTTGGCATTTTGAATTGTTTCTGCTGCTTCCGAGGTATCCGAGAAGAAAATGCCTTGTTACCGTGTGCAGAAGGGTGAAATTAAATGTGGCAGTTCTTGCGTCGATGTCATTTATGGTAATGTGCAGCTACAGATGCTTTGTTCGATGAAAGGAATCGGAAGCATTGAGGAATTCGGTCTGTAAAAGCATTGTGGAGTTCTTCACAGTTAATATATATGAATCAAATGAAAGGTATGACATCTCGGTTGAGCATATTCGTGCTGATTATATCTACTGGTAATGTCATTGTTAATCAAATGATTTAATAATCCGAGACAGTAAACAAATACTTTCCTCCTTGAAATGGTTTAGAGTCACTCGTACAAGGAGATTGACAATTGGTGATTGCATATTTCGGGGAAGAAATTTTCAAAACAGCCTCAAACCATGTTTTAATTTTCAAAACCGACCAACTTTTTTTTTTACCAAAATCGACCCAATTTTTACCACGTCGGCTTAATCTCATTCCTAAACAGTCGGGGTTGACAACCCCGACTGTTTAGGAGGTTGTTAAACCCTAATTAGAAGCCTTAAATCCGATTTTTTTATGTCCTAAATAGTCGGGGTTGGTAACCCCGACTAATTAGGAAATGAGATTAAGCTGACGTGGTAAAAAGTGAGTGGATTTTGGTAAAAAAAAAGTGTGTCGGTTTTGAAAATTAAAACATGGTTTGAGACTGTTTTGAAAATTTCTTCTATTTCGGGGTAAAGGGGGTTACTTTTTGGTTTTAATGATAAAAATTGATAAAAACTAAATGGGTAGGATAGTCAGTTGCCAGGTAAAACATAGCCTATTTAGATTAAAACTACTTTTTCAAAGTTGGGACTTCTAAAATTTTCCAAATAGGACTAATAAATTAGCTTATTTGAGATGTCATCAAATTGATAGATATGAAATAGCTTAGCGTAAAAACTATTTTGACAAAAAATTTAAAAAAAAAGTAAAAAAATTTAAAAATTAAAATAAAAGAAAGAAGCCCCTAGAAGAGCCAAAACACCATCTTAATTTCCTCATTTGCCTTTCACATACTCTTTCATTTAGACTTTTAGTTGAACAAACATCGATATCAAGCATGTATCTCCATCGAGCTATATCAACACAAACATCTGAAACCATTGTCCATAATTTAAATCACCAAAGTGATGAACACGGTATAACAACGAACAAGCCCCATTTATTCCGCCGCAAAAGAATTTCTCTACAGCAAAAATTGCTTGGTTCTCAGCAATATTTCTTATTAACCACTTTACCCTAAAAATTCAGACCAGCACAAAAAGCATAATCCTGCCGATAATATTACAGACATGGTTAATATGATATGAGGTCATCTAAATGGATAGTAATGAGTCAATACACAAGTTTAGGCCTGAATGGTTTCAAGTACTTTCTTGCTTTCACCGGAAGCAGCAGCAACACTGTCATAGTACTCAACCAAAACTTTCCATCCACCGGGACACATGAAGCCATCGGGTGGGTTCTCTCTGTTCTTTGCTAGGGTTCGCATCTGAGTAACAAAAAGTCGGAAGTTGGCTTAATGTAGAAATTTAGTAGATTAATTGAGTGATAGTGAGAATGTTTGTAGAGTATCTCACCTTGGTGCCCGAGATAAAGAGGAAGTCTTGTGGCCTTGATGGGTCAAAGAAGTCCATTTTCCCTTGGGTTTTATCGTACGCTGCCACCTGAATTTGTTGAAAAGAAGAGAATGATGCAATCGTAAGATACGGTTTCAAAATGTGCACTACTACGTATTGTCGCATAGAGGCATTGAATTTTTTTTTTTTGACAAACTTCGAGAATATCCCTAATTAAAGGTAAATTTGATGGGTTCTTTTAAAGGCAAAAGTAGGGCAAGATGCCCTGCTCAATATATTAAAAATGAAGAAATAGTTACAAACAACACCCAAAGATAAGAGTTGACGATTTCTATTTGACGTGTTTAACTCCAATGTTTAACCTTTTCTTAATAGGTTGTCCGATTTAATAGACTCACATTATGCCTATGGTTTTAAATTTTGGAGTTCAAACTTGATTATTTAAGATAATTAGATGTATATGCGTGTTTTTCCATTGTCATAACATCATAATAATCAAAATGAGTCTAGTGAATGGTCCTAAGTGTAGTATGGTCCTCAATCAATTTGGTTGAAGTAATCTCCTTCATACTGTGCACTGGTTTTAAAGTAGCATATCACAGTTGTACCCATTGTGAACCAAAACATACCACAAATCTGCTAATGCTAAAGAGGATTGTGTAGGTTAAAGGATTTTTAAACATCTTGAAACCTTCTAATGCAGGAGAATATGTTCTGTCATGTGACATTTGAAGATGTATTTAATATGGATGAACATAGTAAACGGAGCTTCGATAGTCAAATAAGACCAATCTCCCAATTTCTAAATGCCTATCTAGACTTTAGGCACTACGTTCTTATCATGATTATGTTGATCAATAACTTGAAAGGGTTTGTCCATGTATTAGTAATGGAAGCAGGTGGATGGGTAGGTTGCAGGAGTAGAATAAAGCAGGATATGTTATTAATATAGTAGGAATTAATAAATTATACCATATCTTCTGCAATTGGTAGTGCATCTGTCTATATTGGGCAAGGCACATACGCTTCTTATTTCCTACCTAGTATTGAGGCTTTCCATGTGAAGTCTCCTAGCATCTATAAATAATGTATTCATGAATAATCAATAAAGAGAGATTTCCTTTCTGCAGGAAGTCACATTCTTCGGGAGGCATGAATGAATCAGATATCAAATTGTAGGCAGGCTGGGGTTTCTTTATGCGACCCCATAAAAAAAATCAGGTATCAAATTGGACAAAAACCGAACGAAGATTCTAAAAAGTACAGATTCCAAATTTTCAAGTCAGAAATGAATATAAATTAATTAAATAAGTTTATTTATGGCAAAAATGAGCTTACCCTGAATGGTAGGATGTTAAGCTTCTCAAGCCCAGGGGCCATGCTTAGTACCTTCTTCCCATGATCTGCATCATACAAGTCTCTCTTTTCGGTAGGATGACTCATACCAGCTGGATCTCTTCCCACAATGTAAAAATTAGCACCAGCATTTATCCGAGCCTTTGCATGCCACTGCACCTCCGTCGGGCCAGCATAATGCATCGGCGATGGGAAAATGGCAACAACCGTCGTCTCTGGATTTAGAACTCCCTCCTCGAGCACCTAAAATAACGTTAAAAAGAAGGAACTAGAATAAGAAATATATTATCGTATTAGCAAATTCAGACAATAACATGAAACAAAGAGTAAATTTCACAAAACCCCCTGAACCTTGCCAGGTTCTGTTGAAAACATAGATACTCAGAATTGTCAAAAATTATACTAAACTCCCCTGAACTATTGAAAATTCTCACAAGTAGCACTAACTGGTAGATTGTCTGAACTATATTCTTCTTCTTCTCCTTCTTCTTCTTTACTCTTTAGCTATCCTTACCCAAACATGGGAATACAGAGGCTATATTGACTAGATAGGGTTCAAAATGTCCAAATATTGTAAGGTTCTCCACAAGTGACAAGTTAAAGTAACTTCCAATGGTCATGATACTAAAGAAATAATTTCAGGAGGGGTTTCCTATCATCCTATGATTATAAACTTCAAGGGGGTTTTGTGAAATTTATCCTAAAATAAACCTCTCTGGTGAAGTGTGAGACAAAATATCTTGACATTAAGGTCTATGGAAATCAGAGGCACAACACCTTTTCATGTTGCTTCATTCTCCATTCAAGTGGCACATCATCAGCTTTTGTGTAGCCTCCCAAAGGGTGAAGCAACAGAATCGGATTCTTATATCCCATTTCTAAAAGGCGCCTACGAGTGTCATTCATGAGCAAAGCATGGCCATTGTGCACAGGGTTTCGAAGCTGGAAAGCAAAAACTGCATCAGCATTGCGCCTTGAGAACTCTTCCCTGAGTTCTGCAGGTGAGAGGCGATATTGATCAAGGCCATCGTTGTACTTGATTGGCTCTATGACCTCTAAATCTCCTCCTATTAGCCAGTCTCCGGCATTGGTTATGGCTTCCTCAACATAGGGAAGTCCTCGAGCAGTTGTTCCCCATGTTCTTGCAATTCGTTCTTCCTTGTTATGCTTGTAGATCTCAATGCTGTAAAAAAGAGAAACAGCAGGAAGAAAGACAGAGAAGAATGAGTACAAAAGATTATGATGATCATGTACTTCAATAAATTGAAAGCAGTGGATAACATTAACTTACATTACATGGAACAATGTTAACAATCATAATTCATAATAAGCATGTGATAATTTTATTTGAACTTTGCAACATCCAGGTAGTTTAACACAGTAACACTTTAACAAAGGAAAGAAAGTGGTACTTGACCATGACAGGCATAAACGATCGAAATGCTAATGAAAAACTTACTCAAAAAGAAACAAAACATAACAAGAGCTAACAAAAACGGAAACAGGATGCACAAAAACAGCAATACATACGGGCAAGTTAAAGCAAAGGAACAACGGAGACCATTATCCTAAAATCACTCAAAAAGTAACAAAACATAACAAGAGCAAACGTAAAAGGAAACATGACAGCAATACTTAACAACGGAGACCATTGTCCTAAAATCACCAAGTCTCCAATATGTTATGTGAACTATAATCTGACAAAATATCAACGATATACAGGTCCATGAACTGATTCACTGCCAATGGTAAGCGCTACGTTATTGTTATCTATGTGGGCATAAACCCCTACAGCATGAAAAGAAATAAAATACAGGTTAAAGCCATTCCAATATCCCTGCCCTGAAGCAAATCTCATCACGAACCATTTGAATGTGGTCTCGATTCCCTCAAATTGTTGTTATCAATATAAACAGTTTTAGTACTTCTCTATCATCCACCTACTGGTTCTAACAATAATGGAATAATTGATGGCCCATTTAATAGATAATTATCTAATTCTTAAAGCACGCACACGCGCGCACACATATTAGGGACTGGAGATCACAATAAATGATATAGATCGTCAATTTCGATGGACAAGGATGAGATTTAGGACCAGAACCTTAAGTATTTATCTGGCTTATAAACCTAGAAACATTTTATCCTGTGAGACATATATATATCATAGATAGGTATATTTAAAAGTGTACAACAGGCATCCTTTCTTATATACGATATATAACATGTACACACAAATACACAGATGTTTTGTATTTATCATGCAGAGATTCATCTACATACAGATGCTAAGTCAGGAGTAACTAAAAAAAACTTAACTACATGTACGAACATATTAAAGCACGCATAAGAGACCACAGCAGATGAGCTAGGTAACTAACTTAATCAATATTTGCATATATGAAGACAGAAAAATTGTCCTTCTGTTGTCTCATAGATAGGATCTACCTCTAAATATGTTGGACAGCAATCTATCATGTGTTAGACAAATATTTATGATTTATCTAAATGCATTAAACTTGCTTGCTTATTATGCAGGCTAGAAGAAGAATTTATATAGACACATTCAACTAGTTTGCGTACCACATGAAGGGAATTTGCGCGTGTGGATCTGGGTAGACATCATTATCAGAAAATATAAATACATGGTAGCCCTTGAATCAGACTCATGTTTTCCTTTTTAATTTAAAAATAATTGATTCGCCAGATTTGGTAGATTAAATTAACTAAATTTTCAGAAAGCTTAACAGTAACTCCATTATATTTTTCTGGAAACAGAAGTTCATATAATCTTCTCAGTTTCAACAGTATTAAGCACAAACTCACCAAGATACACAATTTCAAGTCAGATTAAAAATTTCGGGGAAAATAACCATATCGGATATTTTTCCAAGGTGATTTTTTCCACAAGAACTCACCAACAGCACTTAGCTTCAAATATAACCGCAATCAAAATCCATCCATGATACTAGGACCAGCTTGGCTAACATATTAGAGGACAATAACACTAAAGAGTAGATTCTCCCTTTCTCTCATAAAAGAAGGGATTAAAATAGGATGCCAATTGGGAAAACAATAGTTAACATGACCACCTCAAATCAAACCAATCTAAGTTGTTCAGAAAAACATATTGAATCAATTAATACCATAAACAGTCAAGTTTCTAATCAGCTCTTTCCACCCTTACTAGTTTATATCTATAAACAAGGAAATTTGACAAAGAAATGGTCAGAAATCAAAACTCTACACTTAAAATCACTTTGAATTGGGAACTACTCCAGACTATAAGTCGTCCATGATCAACACCAATTCATGTATGCACGCATCTACCAAACAACAATCCTTTTCCAAGATCATTGGTTTTTTCCCTATTATGTTGTGTTTGGCGAACCCACATAAACAGCACTGATATTGAATCTGGCCCAGTTTTATCCTAACCGAGCTAGCTTTATTCCATGGGGTGAATGAAAAGAAAAAGGGCCAAATTTTGGCCTAAAAACCGGGCCAGTCCTTACTAGTCTTTGCCAAACACATAACAATTCAAAACTTGGCTGGGATCAATCCTAGCCTAGTTTTATGGGTTTTCCTAATTTATTCCTATGCATGTACATACAATTAATACATATGTACAGAGAGTAAATATTATACTTTAATATTATTTATGCAGAATAACATGGTATTGCACAGCCTCTTGGGCCAGTTTAGGTTTGTTGACATATCTAGCTAGACACAATCCTATCTCTATGATTATTTGAGGGAAAAAATCACAGTCCACCCATTTTAGCAATATAGCATAATCAATCCGAACCAACCAATTTAGGGCAGATTGTCGCAGTTCTTGGGCTGATTTATTTGAAGTAGTGCTCATGAGTAGATCCTTATAATAAGTGGCACATATGGCATCTTGCTGGTATTCAGACTTACTTTTCCCCTAAACATGGTACGTGCTAGGATTATCTTCTAAACCGTCAGTGATATGCTTTGAACTTCGAAATACACCAATATCTAGTGAGTGACTGCGTATGAAGTCCTTAGAAGAATAAGCTTCCTCAGAAAAAGTGGATTATATATCAAATACAAAAAAGAAGAACTAAAGTCCAAAGATATTATTATCGTATCTTTTACAAATTTGTCATATCATGTATCCACACCCGCATCTATTCTCATGTAATATACGTGCTTGCCAAACAAGCCCTTATAGCAATCAAATATACCCATTTAGGATATGCATAAGCACTCTAAGGGTGTATTTGGCAACCAAAAAGTAGAAAATGAAGAGAACTTCTCGTTACTATTTGTTTGAAAAATTTGCTTAATTGATAACAAATAGAAGATCAAAAGCTGAAGTTATTGATGCATCATTTACTTTCCCTGTCTCATATTTAGTTGTGCTTGGACAATAAGCAATATAATGTTAATATTTAAAACTAAAATAGTAAGGGAAGATAATAAAATTTTAATTTATCTCTCCTCTCAATTCACTACCTATCCACCTTCTCAAAAAAAAAACACAAAAATACAAAATACAAAATAAAACGTAAGTAACTGGTATTAATTCTCTTCTTATCGAATGTTTACTTATTGTTATTACACCCTTAATTCATTCTTTCTTCCCCAAAAATTATATATTTCCTCTCTTTCTTATGGAAAATGGGTCAGAGAAAAGAAGATGACCACTGGGCATGAACTTAAAGAAAAGAGCATTTGATTTTGGATATAAACTTAAAGAAAAGGGTATAATTGGAAACTCAAGTCAAAAGGTTAGGTCAAATCAAATAATTTCTGAGTACAGCCCACAAGTTAGCACAGGTACTAAATTGGAGTGACATAAATGAATTCATACATAGAAATTCCATGATTTGAGAAACTAATTCAAAAATCTATTACTATATACTAAAATAGCTATCATTGGTTGCATGGAAGACAAATGACACTTGTCTGAGTATTTTTCCTCCTTTTTATTTAATCAAACTTTCATTATAACTATAGAACCATCATGAAAATGTAATTTGCTTGTTCCCAATAGACATATAGGCTTTTGTTTTTATTATTATTTCTTTTCCAATGAGGGAATGACCTTAGCAGCTATTCTTTTATAAACATATACCTGTCCAATTGTAATATTATCAAAATATGCATGAAAAAAATATTGTGTTTGGTAAAAGTTGGGCCAAAATTGGTCCAATTTATGTTAGTTCATTTTTAGCCTCTTAACCACGGTAGAATTGGTCCACCCCCTGTCAGCAAGAAAAGTTCGGCTAAGCAGTACTGTGACAATACGCAGAGCAAGTATTTTGATAGAATTTTATCTGGGAACAAAAATATTTTGATGAGCAGCAATATATATGCATTTAAATTAAGCTCGATCCTTACCCGTTCAAAATGGCCACGGGCCTGTCCTCGCCGTCCACCAGCACCACCCTCTCGCAGCCCCCGATCTCCCCCCTCTTCTCGTCGTCGACCGCGAGCACGACCGGCACCGACATGTTGGCGACCGACCCGTCACCGCACCGGATCGAGTTGAAGTGAAGCGCCTGGAGGAACTCCGACTCCCTCATGAACCCCTCCAGGGGGCTGGCCCACCCCTCGCTCAGCACGTGGACCCACTCCAGGTCCAGTCCACCCCTCCTGAGAGGACGCGCGGCGCGGGGCAACCCCCGACGCCTCCCGCCGGAGGGAGCCCTTGCCGGGCCCCGCGGGGCGATAGTTGAACGACTCCGCCGTCGGGGGATCAGGAGCAGGAGCGCGCAGGGGAGGGGCCTTTTGGCGAGGGAGGGTGAGGAGGAGGGGGCATTTTGGGAAGGGAGTTTGGGAGTTTTAGGGTGAGGATGAGAATGGGTCTTTGTTTGGGGAGGAGCAGACGCGGAGATGGAAGCCATCTGTTTGTTTTCTCTGCTGGAGCAGGAGGCAGGCGGCGTCTGGGGTGGGTCTTTTTAAAAGTTAGGGGTAGGGGTATTTTTGGAACCGGAAAAGAAGCCCCACCAAACTGCCACGTGGCCTGTAAAAATAAATACTAAGTTAATTTATTAATCTATATTCAATTGTTTTGTTTTGTTGGTTGTTTTTAGAGGGAGGAAGGGGTTACGGACAGAATTTGCTCTAAACCAACTATTTGGAACTTTTATCCTCAA